TTGTAACGAACAATAGAATTTATTTGTCGTGATAATTCTTATAAACTTTTAATTGGTGTTCCGATGACATTGGAATGCTTCCCACAAGCTCACCTGATGGGAAATTCCGTCTTAAAAAAATTTCTTGCAGTTACAGTCATCGTACATGAGAATTTGCGACGATAATGAGAATAAAAAACATACGATGGATATTTCAATACAGTGTTATGACCCAATCAATCGAATCCTTCATGGAGTAATGAAATGGCAAATGTCCGGAACTCGGAATCTATAGAAAAATTGAAACAGAGTTTCATCATCTTATTTTGAATCGCATTATGTGGTATTCTTATGGTGTTTTCTGCAACACAATTCTGAATTTCCCACATTTGAAGGATATTAGAAGAGATGGGATTATGATAAATAGAACTTTTAACTTTCAAAACTTTCCCCTGCACCATAATCAATTGTCCATCACGCATAATTTTTCTTATTTCTGCAATTGTATCATCTTTTAATAATACCATATTATCTAGACTTTTCACTGAAAGTATCCATCCTCAGTATTTCAATTTCTTGATTTCCAATCGATTTTCTTTCATAACTTGAATATCCAAAGTACTTTGAGATAGTTGGGGAACTAGAGATTGTTCATGGAGCCGACGACACAATTGAGCAATAGTATTATGAGGTGATCTTAAATATCTCTTTATTTTTCCCAACATGCTTTCGAAAGGGAAAGCGGTCATTTCACTCAAACTACACCCTATGTTGATCACGTCATCCGCCAAATGGAGCAAGTTATGTGTATTTAGCGTTGCAGACTGCGCTCCATAAATATCAACAATTGATGAGCAAAATTTCTTCAGAGATTCTTTAGCAAATCGAAACTTTCTTTGAGCGGTCCTCTTACACCATAGGATTCGAGAAGCAGCATGAAATAGCAGAACATGACTGTACATTCTTTTATCTAGAATGTCTTTCAGTACAACAGGCCCTACATAAAGTGCGAAAAATTTTAATTCTGTGGCTTTATATTTCGTGAAATCGGATAGGGTTCTTATTCTACGTTGAAAATCGGAGGGTATCTGAGATCGTAATTGTTCCAATCTTCCGGACACTTCTAACTTTGCTGTGTGACTGACTTTACTTTTTGAATCGCTTGAAAACCAATATGACAATAATTTATCCATTGCACCCAAGTATCCGAGATGCATGAAATCAAGTACAAATATAAAAATCATATTAACAGCAGGAGTGATAAATAAAAGTGGAGAAGGAACATTATGATGATTTGGATCGCTGAAGTCTCGGAATGAGGCATCTGTGCGTGATTCACCTTCTTCAGTAGGAAAAGTTGTTGTTCCGTTTACCTGGGTTGTTGAATGACATAAAAATTAGACTTGGGGAAAAATAGGCATTTAAAAAATGCATGAAACAATCCTTTGAACCGAATTTTCCAGAATTTCTTTTAACTCTGCTAATATTTAAGATTGGATATACCTTAGAACCGATGACACAACATCGCTCACAAGCATGGGAACCAGTATGACCCTTGGTACCTTTGAGGAGAGCACGAGCTGGCGTGTCACAAATAAAACATTTTATTTCGATTGTAAAATGTTTGTCTTTAATATCAATACCATTTTCAAGTAATTCATTCAGTTCAATTATGAATTTGTTCAGATATTCATCAACATTCTTTGGTTTTGAAGTTCCTGAATATAAGGCAATAACAAAGGGCTCATAGTAGGCTGACTTGGAGAACACTTGACATAAAATGGGCCAGGTATGACGTGAACTCGATTTTGATAATGAGAGACCGTCGCAATTTATCATTAATTCGATGGTTCCCGTTTCATGTATAGATGAATCAACACGAGTTAGTAATCCCTGTTTGATCCCGACATATGCGAATTCTCCTATAGACCCATCACCATCTGCCATAGGTTCAATACAGTAAGACGCTGTTGTTGTTTCCAGAAAAGTTTTTGATGATAGAGGTAACGAAGGTAAAAGCCGCGCTTTTAATATCCTTAGCAGTGGGTCTAAATGAGCATGAGGAATTTTGTACCGAATGGCCCACTCTCGAAGTTTTGGAATTTCTGCAGGAATATCATTCCACTCTCGTTCCTGTTCTTCTAGCACTGATAATTCATCATTACTATCAGTATCGCTATCACCGTCAGGGTCTTTGTCATTTTCCTCTCCGACATTGTTATAATCGAAGAAAGGTTCATTTTGATCATTCATCATGATTTCATCCACGGCTTCAATCGATTCAAAATGCTGCAAATTTCTTGATGATGGTGATGGTATGTTGGAGTCTCCATCCTCATAATCAGCAATAGTTTCGTTATCACTCCCTCCTTCACCATTAAAGTTGCTATCTGAATCATCTTCATCTTGATGTCCACTGATATCATCCTCAGTCCTTAGATAATTTTTGTTAAAAATCTCTAATTTTCTTCTTGCGTTGCGAATTCCCCTCATTTTTCTCGTTCGCATTTTCGAACAGAAGGCAGATTGTTTTCTTTTCGATACGTCCTTGTCCATTATATTGGTAAAAGCTTGTTCTTGGTAGGAACGCTATTAGCGAATTTTTGCTTTAATAAATAGCTTATACGCAAATAAATTACTAACGTTAGTGAGCACACGCAAAATACAATTATACACCATAACCTCAATTTATGTTGGTGCGCCATGGGCCCGTCACTCCCTGACTTACCAATAATCTTTGCAGATGATTTCGGTTTTGGTATAATATTAAAATTATGATTAAAATTATTAAAAAGATATTAAAATTTGATGTCATGTACGAAAATTTTTCATAGAAAACTCTCGAGAACTCTATTGGAATTTCTATAGAATTTATATTGAATTTTTTATACGTTTTTTGGCGTTTCTATTGACATGTTTTCTATCAATTTTTTTCGGCACATATTTTTTGAGCTTTTTGAGCCGAAAGAAAATGCGAAAAATGTATGTAAAATTCAATAGAAGTCTTATAGTAAGTCTAGAAATTCTTACAGAATTTTCTGAGGTTTTCTCCAAAAAATGTTCAATAATTTTAGGACAATAATTATATCTGGCTGCTAAACGAACCCACTAACTAGATTTATCTAACCCGTAGAAGCAAGTCTTAGGGATCGCTCGTAAAACTGTCTGGAGCAGAAGTAAGATGCTTAGATGAAATCGAGACTAGGCTAAGAATCAAGCAATGTCCTAGGTACGATCTTCCCGAACCTTGTAAAAACGAGGGTAGATTGTACGAGACATTGCGCTGCCAATAACTAGACAGTAGGACCTCGGATTTTCGGGGCCCAAAATACTGGTTACAGCCAGTCTAGTATCAGCCTAATGTTATCTCGTTTTTTTGAGTGTGGTAAAAACTAGCTAGCACCAGTTTTCAAGCTGGTCTTTACTAGAAATATTTCTACCTGGGAAGTATCGATAGAATAAAGAGAGTATCAAAAATAATTAATTCGCATAGAAGACGTATTAGCAGCAATACCATGCAATCAAGCTAGCATTCACGAACCGTGCGTCCATCCTAACTCAAAGAACATAGTCAGAATAACATAAAATTACTACAGCAACGCAAAAATCGATGGCTTCGTGACCTTCCATTTCTAACAATGAAAACCGAACAGATACCAATTCAAGACAAATGATTTCGATGTCACGAGACTTTGATGTGATAGGTTTAAGGGTGTTGTCGCGAGAGAGTCAGGCTTAAAATTTACTACGCTCCGGGTTGATCTTCCGCTAAGCGGAGAATACGAGTTAGAATATGAACTTTTGCGGGTGTACAGTTCCACTCGACTCACGCACACAAGAATCTACCATGCATGGATACATGTACACACAGCTAACGCTTAACGGTGCCGATCGTGGCAACCGCGCGCAGCGTGTCTCTGTTTTCATGTCTCTCTCTTTCTCACTAAATATATTTATTTTATTTATGAATCGTCCCTTTGATTCGTCATTGCCTATTCCAAATAGATTCCCGCCACTCGAGCAAAAAGCGTTGTTGTCGCGTCGCGCGCAACAAACCCATGCGCTCCGCCCACTGGGAGAAATAATGCTACTTTGAAAATTTATTGCTCTACTACGAAACTGACGATCACTTTTTTTTCAGTATATTGGTGGTCACTATTTCTACGTTCTGTGTTAATTTCATCAAAAAATGTCCAGTGTTTTTTTTTTTAAATAAAAACGGTGAAATGCATTTGAACAGCTCAGAAACTGACTATTGGTTTTTTGTTGTGCTCATTTTGGAGGGAATTTTAAGAGCTATCTATAGCAAAAATTTTTAAAAAATCTGTCGAAAAACGGGTTTACACGACAACAACCTTAACAGGAAATTCGATGGCTAGAAAAATATCAAAATTCATGACACGGACAAAATTTGAAAAGTCGCAAAACTTTAACAATTCGAAATAAAATCAACAAAAATCGCAATAATTCGGTCAAATAACCAAGCGAATAATATAGGTAGTTCGAATCGAAATGAAGTTAAAACAAAATAAAAAATCAACCTGAGAGGGAGAGAGCCAACAATTTCAATGACTGAAGTGGCCAGAAACGCTCTCATGAAAAATTTTACTAATGGCTCTGTTCCACTCAAATGTCCGAGACATCAATTCAAACAAATGGAAAATCTCTGCCTACTATTACAAAATTATTCAATATTATAATACGGCCTTCATCGACGGTACTGATCGTGTCTAGAGTACTGGACTCATATGCCAATGATTCGGATTCGATCCCGAGCTCTGACGGTCAAAATTTATAGTGTGGTTAGAATCCTATTGATATTTTCTCTGATGTCAATAGTTTCGAAGCTGTCAGCTCAAAGATCAGTACAAAACTGGCATTCTCACTCTTTCTTTGTCCGTTTGTTTGGTACTGCAGACTTATCTTCGTTAAAGCCGAGAATTTATTAATATGATAAGATCCTAAATGACACTATCATAATTGATATAGCAATTTTTACAATGACTATTTTTTTCTTCCAGGATGCAGTAATAAACGAACTAAAAAATAAAACTCGACTTGTGCAAGAGAAAAAACTTCTTCAACAAGATGAAGTTTACAATGGGGCCCTAGAAGATATTCTTCTTGGTCTTAGGTCCGAGCCCTACCGCCGTGCGGATGCGGTACGTCGATCTCAACGTCGCAGAATCGATAATCATCGATTATCGCGTACTGCTGAAGAACTGGAGCTCTGAGTAAAACCTGACCAATTTGAAGAAAAAAAAATTATATCTTCCTATGACTAAAGAACTTGCCTTATTCCCAAAGACCCATAACATTTTTTGGAATTATAGAAAGACAAGAAAACATCACTTGTTAAGATTTTCTAGATGATTGAAGTCGGTGCTATGAGGGAATGTTTCCATATAACGTTCATATTTTGCTGTAATTTTAGTATTTTTGTAGTCAGAATGTACTCCATTACATTCCAGATAATAAATATAAACAAAAAAATCCATATCGGGTATTCTGAGTGAACTGAGCGAGGTTCAAACCCTTACTCCCTTCGATTGTATCGCTGATTTTTTTTCATAATGTACGCATCATTAGATGACTATTTAATTAAAAAAAAAAAATTTTAACGATATCAGCAACGCACTATGATTTTTTTTATTCTTTCGGCGTTTAAGAGCGTAAATACCGTAAATATATGTCATTGAAATCTTTAACTTAAACCTTTGTTTCAACACACCCGCATGGAAAGTTCGCACTTTGCTCTCTGATAAGCGGGGAGAAAGTGAGTACTTCCCGCGCTCGGGTGGACAGGTGCGTTCCATCCTAGGTCAGAAAGTATTCACTTTTCTCTCGCTTTTCAGACAACAAAAGACGCAGCTTCCTTTGCAGGTATCTTGAAAAATAGTATGTGCACCTCGGGCGGAAAACCACTGATTCTGATTGACAAATACGTTCTGAATGCACAATATACTATTTTTGGTATAACGAATTCACGCAACTTTTTTGAAAAAAATAAGCCGGTCAAGTCGGAAGAAGCGGGAATTTTTAGGCTTTTGTAATTTCATGGAACGACGCATAAATGATGTATAGCTATTTTCATTTATCGGCGATAAACAAACGAAAATTTTGAAAACAAAATCTTTCAATTGGTCCATATTTACTAGAGTTATGCTCTTAAAGGTGCAACAATGGAAAAAAACACGGCGGGTTTCTGGTATTGTCAAATAATTTCAACAAGAGTCGAATAGTGACGTAATGATGTGTACAATATGGTAAAAAATTGTCGATACAATCGAAGAGGGGTTTGAACCTCGTTGCGTCTACTCAGAACGCCCAATATAAAAATGGTATATAACTATTTTGATACGTTACCATATTAATGCATATCTGAAACTGAAACGAAAAAAAAACAGAAAAAATGATACGCAAGAAAGCTGAAAGATTCCATCATATTTTCAGTAAAAATTTTTAGTAAAGTATTGATTTGAAAAGCATTTTCACTTCAGTGTTTTTTCATTCTCGAAATTTATGTGGATATCAAAGTTCAAAGCATTTGTATATGAATTGTATTATAAAAACAGATATTGAAAATAATCAAGTGTAATTATTAGAATGTTCAGGATATAAATAAGATATATTTCCAATGTGATGTATAGGTAATTACAATTAAGTAAAAAGTTATTACGATTTGGATGGAATTTTTCCATTTTTTTCCAACATACAAACATGACATTACTTGGTCTGGAAAGTTGTAAATAAAATACATCTTATATAAAAATTACATTTTTCTAACAGCTAATAAATATTATCATACAAAATCAAATCTGTTAAGATTTCCTTATTTGTCGGTATGCTTCGTGATGAATCGAAATCTTGCAAAATAAGGTTATTTCGTTTTTCTTTAAACAATTAGCATCATTCCAGCATTACACGCATATTTGTAGCCTTGCCTTACCAGCCCCCC